ACCAAGAGTCTAAATTTAATAAAATTTTCTATTAAAATTACAATATATATATATAATATTTAAAAAAAGATATAATGATAGGGAGTGAGAGAGGATCCCCTTCTAGAAAACACAAAAAATGCAATTAACTCACCCCTAGGAGTCCCTCTCCCCGTAGTACAACTCACCCAAAAAAGAATCTCCAAAATCCAAGTATACCCAAAAATCAAAAAATTCAAAAAAGAGTAATCTTGTGTACTTGTATATCTTGGAAGTATCTTGAAAAGAGAAAAAACAAAGCAAATCATGCAGAAGAGCTGTCCTCGGTATAGCAGATATCTCCAAAAAGACCGTGAGCAGAGACTCCAGCACAGCCGGTGACTCCAAAAAAAAAGAAAATCCTGTAACAAGTGATAAAAACAGCCAAGCCAAACAAAATAGAAGGGAACCGCAAGAAAAAAGACAGTAATGCTCAGCCAAACCGAATAGAGCTTCATTTGATGGCCAAAAAAGCATAAAAGATTTTGGGTGTGCCCTAATCCACCAAAAAAAATTCTTATTCCCCTCTACATGAGATTCCACCCCCTGCCAGCAAGGACAAGGGCACTTTTCTCTCGACTTCCTTTAATCTGCCGCACCATATTCTTCTCGTGTCACAGCCACTCAAAATTTGCACCAGAAAGGCAAAAACCTCCAGCGTTGTAGTGCTCTCTGCTCTAGACGCATGCAACAACCACCGAGCTGATATTATTTTAATTAATTATTAACTTGAAATTGCTCAAGTATTAATTTCTATGAAATTCTAATTAAGTTTATTTTGCTATTCATAATATATATTTAAAATTCATTAATTAAATTATAATATAAACCCAATCATACATTACCAAGTTTGCTCGGAGTAATCTCCCTCCTCTTAGTTCGCGCACTTCTCCTACTTCTATTCCCCTCAAAACCCTAAAATCTAAACCAAGAGTCTACATTTAATAAGATTTTCTATTAAAATTACAATATATATATATATATATATATATATATAGATATATATAATTTTCTTATAAAAAATTTTAAAAATTATTAGATTTTACCTTTAAAATCTTGAGCGAGCCCTAATCCACGAAAAAAATTTATTATTCCCCTCTACATGAGATTCCACCCCCTGCCAGCACGAACAAGGGCTCTTTCCTCTCGATTTCCTTTAATCTGTCGCACCATATCCTTCTCGTGTCACAGAGTCACTCAAAATTTGCACCAGAAAGGCAAAAAGCTCTGGCGTTGCAGTCCTCTCTGCCCTAGACGCATGCAACAACCACGGAGCTAGTAAGTCAATCTGATCTCTGATTTATATATCAAATGTACCTTTCATTTTCCCGACTCGTTGCTTCCTCTCCCCACTTCGGTTTCCCAACTCCTCACTTTTTCTCCCAGTTTTTGGTTCTCCCAGGATTTTGAAAGTAGACGTCATAGAGATGACCCAGTAGAATAAAATAAGCCAAAGTGTATAAAAATATAACTTGAGCAAAGAAGGTTGAGAATAAGAATAAAAATAAAGAAAAAGGCATATGAAACATTGCATGGTAAAGTAAATAAAATAATAGCCAACAAGAAATTTTATTACTACTACACTGTATTCTATGGTGCATTTAAATCATATTTTTTTGCACCTTTCAATATTTAAGCATGTTTATTTTTATTATTGCCATTACTCTTATTAGTCATTAAATAACACACATTTTCTTTCTTATCTATTGAATCTTATTTTAATATTAAATATCACATTGACCATATTGCTTATCAATTAGGACTACGTTGCTTTTCAAGGAGTAAAGAGCAAATAGAACGTTTGCTAGGTGATTTACTATTTTTATAGCTCTTCAATGAAAATTTTTGGATTGTTATGGTAGACTTTCGAGATACGTATAATTTCATATCTAATTTTATATAGAAGCTCAACTTCTTATTTGAGGATTTGTTATGCACCTGGTTATATTTAATATCGAATAATTACTTGATGAAACAAAATATAAGAATTTGCTTGTGACCATTTAGCATGAATAATTCCTTATTCACTCGATCCTAATGGGCCCACTTAATGATGAGAGTTGGTCAAAATTGTATGTGACAGAGTATTCTCCTCTATTACACCTCAGGTTGAAATGAGGGGTCAACTGAATGTGACATATTAAGTGCCATGTAATAAAAATAGAATGTCGAAAAGTATTCTCTACTTTTATCAAAACTAATATACATAAGAGAAATAAAACTGGAATACCGCGCTTAGCGCAATAAAATAAACCATTCTCCCCCTTGTAACTTGTCCCATTATCATCTTTACCCGTGACTGACCAGAATATAATATGACCTAAGAAAACTTGATAAAAAGAGTAAGATCAAAAGAATGAAGAATCATTTAATGTTTAACCACTTCTAAAATCCATTTAAATTTGCTGAGAGAGTAAAAACTCTAATAGCGAGATATAATATCATCAGCAAATGTCATTGCTGCAAAGGCATTCCAATAAGATTCTCAATCCAATTCTCCTAATGCAACTACTTCAGCCATGTTATAAGGCTTTCTTCTCCCTAACAACCCAAATTGTATGCATGAACACATTACGTAGCAATCCAAGTTAATTTCACTTCCAAGACAATTAGATTAGCCTGATAACTCTTTAAAGTTACTGGGAGGGCTAAAATGATACCATTATAGGGCTTCTAGAAGGTATTTATGAAGGGAATTAAGCAGGGAAGTAGTTTTGGAATAGTGAAGGAACAAAATATAGGAGTTTGACGGCGTTTGAGTTGGGATAGGCATCGATCGACAACTATCCCAGAAGAAAATAATAAAGTAAACTCTGAATCAACAACTTTCGAGATGCGTTGAGGTTCCAACATCTACTCTTAAGCAAGACACAAATACATTACTTGCAAAAGAAAGATGATATAATACTCCGAAGAGTAAAAATAAGGAACCAAAATCATTAAAAAATAATCAAAATGGCAAAAAAATATGTTCAAAACAAAAAAAATAAAAACACAAAGTCTCTTAATAGAAAGCACCTTAATTAAAAAGAGGAAATAAAAATAAATCAGGAAAAAAAAAGGAGAAATCAGAAATTGAAATCCATAGTAAATCAGGAAAAAAAAAAGGAGAAATCAGAAATTGAAATCCATAGGATCTCGGAAATCCAATTTTCAGTCCGAGAGCCCTGCAGGGATCGCAAAATTCAGATATTTCACAATTCCACAAGATATTACGGAAAAAGTAAAGCTTCGTCATCATTCTCCACAGGAAGGAGAGGTTACTTCTTCTTCTCTGAAAGGATCTGGGTCCCATTGCCAAATATCTTTTTTCCACAAAACATTTAAGCTTTCCACAACTACGTCTCCCCACTCCTATCTGACTATATACCGATGGGTGCTGCTGGACAAAACTAGAGGTGAATGCCCAAATTAATTCACATAGACTTCTAGAAATAGCTCAAAAACTAATAAACCCATTTGAATCCATACAACAGTCAAAATCCGGTAAATTCACATTTACTCCAAGATCCTAGCTTCTCCTCTAATATTCCATGTCGAATCGTTCTAGCATTAGTTCTTCTTCACTGGAAACTATCTGCTAGAAATAATCAACTTCCTCTTCTCGATCTGATGACTCACCTTTGTGACTACGGGTGACCACATCAGATTGTCTTCTCTCAAAGGCGGCAAACCATTGTTTTAGTTAGAGAATTTCCCGCAATATATTTGTTATAATAAGTTCTTGGACATCTACCAATCAAATTTCTAGTGGGTATAGGTCTATAAATCATTGTCGATTGGAGGTTTAAGTTTTCAAGAAAAGTGCAGGGTGAATTTTTGGTAGAGGCAAGAAGGTTGAATTTTGAAATTTTAGAGTTTCGGCTCGTAAATGCAATAGAAATGTTTGGGTGTGATGTTTCTTTTTAAATTTTAGATTTGGGGCAAGAAAGACAAATCCCTATAAATCTAAGGTTTGTAGAGCTTTAATATCAGATGATACCATTCTAGAGCTCCTAAATATATTTAGGAAGAGGATTAAGTACGGAAGGGAATGTGGAATAGCAAACAAATGAAATATGGGCATTTGATGGCATTTGATGGCATTTGAGCTGGATAAGGCGTCGATCAGCGGTTGTACCAACCGAAAACAGCAAAGATAACCCCGGATCGGCGACATTCATGTGGCAAAAATGTTCCACCTAAGTAAGATACAGATACCTTACTTGGAAGTGGATACAACACTAAGAAGAGCATAAACAAAGAATCAAAGTCTCTCAAAAACAATAACAATACCAAAAAAATCTCCTCAAAGAAGAAAAAATACATATGCAAATAGCCAATTAGTAGAAAGTGTCCTAATTAGTAAGAAAGAAATAGAAAATAAATCAAAAGGACAAAAAAGACAGATATCCGGAATTGGAATCCACAGGGTCATGGAAATCCAGTTTCAAGTTTAGGAGTCTTGCGGGGATCGTGAGACTCAGCTATTTCGCGACTCCATGTCAATGAGTTCGGCGTGAGTTTAAATAAAAAAGATGCAGAACAGTTGGTTAGACTCCACAAAAAAACTCTTTTTACCATTTGTAGTGGTCTATAGAGTAGAAATTGGTCTACATATTTCAAGGAAATGCTATCTTCCCAATTCAACTTGGTATTTCATCATCTTTTCTCTGCACTTTGTTGCAAGAAAGCTCATGTACTGCATTAAACATCTAAATAAAAATTGATAAATTGTAAGTGATGTCTTCCCCCATATCAATTACCTAAGGTAGCAGATAACTAGAAGCTTAAGAATGAGTATTGTTGCTAAAATTTAGCTGTTCAAGATCATGTCTAAATCAGACATTGTCGTCAATTTTTCATCGTACATGTTCTATTAAATAATTTTTTAGTTTTTTTTTTCTTTTTTGGAAAAACGTAAGATATATAAGTAGAGTTATAGACAGGAAGAGAGAGAGAGAGAGAGAGAGAGACAGAGACAACAGAGAGAGAATTCATACTTTGACCTGTGTCTTTCCAGACAGTGTTGGTACATCGGTCTTGCCACCAAGAATTGCCTGTTATATTGCCAAACTATTGATTATAGAAAATATATTTGACACTTTTAGTCATAAAACTATTCTGTGAGGCATGAAACATGTATATAGGACGCCAATAAAAGCAATCAGGAGTAATATAGAACTGTTATTAACATAAATCAAATAGACAAAGCCTGCCGTGTTTAGATAATTCAATATAAAGCGTATATCAGTATAGCATAAGGAAGGTCACACTTAAATAATCAGGACCACTTATACCTATGACAACTGATGCATCAAGAAAACTGCATAAGCTTAATTTACATATTATTAGTTAAAAAATGACGACATTTGAAAAGGCCAACATCATAGAACTATTTTTTTAAGTAGATCACAAGAAAAAATTGGAGACTTGATGCAGTAAATTAAACTAAGTTTATTTTGTAAGGGTGTTTTGTAAAGTAATATAATACAGCTTATGCCACGAAAAGGTTTGTCCATTTAAGGTCCCAGCTCCGGAGGTTACACTCAATTGAAGTTTACAAAAAGGAGTTAGGAAAAAAAAAGCTTCAGGACACATAGGCCACAAAACAAGAAAAGGTGCATCTATTGGCTTCTATAGTAGACTGCGATTAGTTGGGGTGTCTTTTCTGCAAGCTTTCTGTTTTGGAAAGCAGCTGAGGTGGTGTTTGGGAGCCCACTTTTAACCGCTTATCTTAAACTCCCATTCCTTATTAAAGCAAACAGCACGGTTGAGCTGCGTTCCACAAAATGGATTGCAGCGGGAATGATTAGTTACAGTGCTACCCCTTTACATTTCTAATATTCCCCTCGGTTATCCATGATACTACCCTTCATTCTTTCCACCTTCTGCCATCTTTGCTACAAGCATCGTGTGTTAGGGTTTTTGTGGCCTACCAGTAGAGCAGATTTTCTCGTTTGTCTCTCTGTCCTCGAATGAATTGTATGCATCTCTTTGATCCTTTATTATTTTGAAAACAAGAAGAAGCTTTCAGTGCTTTGTTTTTGTTTATCTTCCGTCGCCAGATTTTCGGTATGTGATTTTCTTTGTTCAATGGCGTATTAAATTGTTGGTTTAGGGTGTGCATTCCATGCTATTTTGGGCTATGCATTCTATGTTATCTAATTGGAATCTATATCACCATCGCTTTGAACAACAAACCCGAGATATAAAAATGGTTCACACCTTTTAATAATTTGATTGCCCAAAGTTGCACTTCTGTTACTAGAGCTACTACTACTAAAAGTACATTCCATGTTGTCAGATTTAGTTTTACTCAAATGAAGGCCTTTAGACTCCCAATACCTCCGTAATTCAAGTATTTTCTGGGCTTTTTTCTCTCGCCTTATCCACGAGAAGGATATCATCAGCAAAAAGCATACACCAATGTACATCCTCCTGTAAATGTCCACTAAGACCATCCATACTAAGACCATCCCATCCATAACTAAAGCAAAAAGATATGGTCGTAAAGCCGATCCCTAATGTAATCCAGCAGAAATAATATTTGGTCAATCCTCCTTCACTTCGAACACAAGTAACACCTCTAGTATACATATCTTTAATGACTTTAATATAAGTCATATCAACACCTTTCTTCTCAAGAATGCTCCAAAAACATCTCTTGGAACCTTTTCATAAGCTTTTTCTGAATCAATAAAAATCAAATATAGATTCTCCTTACTATCTCTGAACTTCTCCAAACCTCTCAATAGATGTATAGTTTTCACGGTAGACCTGCCCGACATAAATCCAAATTGATTATGAGAAATCTTTGTAATAAGTTTTAACCTATGTTCAATTACCCTCTCCCATAATTTTAAATTATGACACATCAAATTAATTATTAATTCCTTTATAATTTGCATATAATTTGCACACTCTTGTGCATCCTCTTAATTTGCAAAAATGGGGATCAAAAAACTCTTCTTCCACTCCTCAAGCAACTTTTAAGTTTTTAAAATAATATTAAAGAGTTTAGTAAGCCAAGAAACTCTCAAATCTCCTAAATATTTTCACATTTCAATTAGGATATCATCGGGTCCTACAGACATTCCACCCATGGTTTTCTTAAAACCCTCTTCAACTTCTTTTTTACTAATGTAACGGTAAAAATGAAACGTTTTATTATAATTAAAAATATTAAGATCACTAAGGTTGATCATATTTTCAGAAACTTCATTAAAAAGTTTATCAAAGTAACTCACTCGCCTATGTTGAATATCTTTTTCTGAGAAAAACACTTTCTGATTTTCATCTTTAATGCACTTTACTTGAGTTAAATCTTTACTTTTCCTTTCTTTTTATCTTTCAATCTTTACTTTTCCTTTCTTTTTATTTAGCTAGTTTATACATATATTTTTCACCCTCCTTAGTATCTAATCTATCATAAAGATCACTAAAAGCCACAAATTGTTCTTTTAGACTCACTGCGAGCTATTTGAAATTTTCTCAATTCTCTAAGCTTTTACAATTAAACCAATTTTTGTGGCATAACTTATATTTTATCTTTTCTTGCAAATTATGATTCCACCATCAACTATTTTTATCTATAAAACTTTCTTTTAATTCTCCAAGTACATCTTTTGCTACTTGTTTAATAGTGTTTATTATTTCATCTCACATAGCATTTGATTTTTCATGAACATCCCCAACTTTGAAATCTTGAATTTTACTCATAAAAATAACTTTATTTATGTCTTTTAGTTCCCTCCATCTAATTCTACGATGATGAGTTCCAGTATTCTTTATTTTACAACTCTTCATCTTAAAATCTAGAACTAATAATCAATATTGGGTACTTAAATCCTCAGTTGGAATGATCTTACAATCTTTACAATCTCAACGATCTCTTCTTCCCATAAGAAAATAATCAATTTGTTTTATTAGAACTATTCTTATAAGTAATAAGATGTTCATCTCTTTTCTTAAATAAAATATTAGTAATAACAAAATCATATATTAAAGCAAAATTTAAAATGTCTCTACCTTCTTCATTAGTCACTCCAAAATCGTAGCCACCATAAATATTCCTGAAATCTTCTACCATTCTACCGACATGTCCATTTAAATCTCCTCCAATAAAAATTCTTTCTTTAAGAGGTAATTGTTCAAGAGGTATGATTTGATGATTTGTATTAAGTCTTCTAAGTAATTCCAGAATATATCTTTAGACCCTATATTTTTACAAACTTGAAAAGCATAAGTACTTATAATAATAAAAATCTTAGTATCAATAATAATCTTAAGGGTTATAATTCTATAACTAACTCTATTAATTTTTACAATATTATCTTTCAAACTCTTATCTATAAAACATTATCTTTCAAACTCTTATCTATAATTACATATACACCATTTCTAGTGTAACTCTTACCAGAATACTAAAATTTAAAACCTAAGTTATCAATCTACTTAGTTTTTTCTCACCCATTTAGTTTCTTGAATACATAAGATTTTATTCTTTCTATTAATCATAATATCAACTAATTCCATTAAATTATCATTAAGAATACATATATTCCAAAATACTATCCTAATTTTAGTTACATTAGTTTCATGCACTAACTTCTTTACCCAAATCCATTCGTAATGTGGGAACTCTTACTTATTTAACACTACACCCGGGAGTTGGTGTAGCGGCGATTGCACACTTTTCACTGTATTCAGACCATACAACACGTAGCTTCCAGGGGACGCCCTAGCACATGCACAATAATCAAAAGGCAAAATCAAAGGGTTGCTAAGGTAATGCTCAATGCGGGACACAAATAAAATCAAATAGGCCATATATAATTTGTGAAACACGCGACTTCAAAGAGAGTCTCCACACAACTAATTAATGTCAAAAACACCATCTTGACAAGTAATGATTTAAAAGGAAAAAAAAACCTTCAAAGAAAAGTTGAAACAAAACTTTAATGTCAAAGAACTAGAAAATCTAAAATATTGACCTTCATATAATCCAAGACTTATAGGAAGACTTGTTTATTTATCATATATTAGACCTAACATTGCTCATGATGTTGGTATGAAAATACTTGTCAAGCTTATTTATGAAAAATACAATTTAACATGAAAAACCACCACAAGACATTTTAACATCAAATTCAAATACAACTAATAGCTATAACATAATACTATGTTATTTAATATTTAACTATCAAATTCTACGTATCATCTAATTTGGAAAACGACAAATAACGAAATTTTGAATTTGAAAATGTATGACTATTTTGTTTGATAGTTAAATATTGGATTTCTTATATCAACTTTTAAATCAAAGTAAAAACTAAAACTATTCTGAGTGACCAATAAAAATTGAAACAAATTTTCCATTATTTTCAATTTTTTCTCTCATGTGCTATATAAGATTTATACTCAAGCCCAAATCATGCACAGACCTTTGATTAAGGACAATTTTGATGGCAAGATAAAATACCACAAACTATTAAAATTTTCTTTCACCGTTTCTTAATTTGAGTTTGGTAAAACTATCTACTCTTCAATGCATTCCTTCTTTCTTACCAATATCTACTTTAAATTTTACAGCTATAACGACAATAGGATTTGCAGTAAACATAATTGACCCGCTTCAAAACCTAGTTCATTAAAAAATTAATGAGACGATACCATCTTTTATCCCACAATTGAGTAATCAAGCAGGCTTGTCCAACAGACGAATCTTTTAATGCATACCTGTGTGAAACTAATATTGGCGTCCACATATATATCAGCACCATCTCTATGGAAAATAGGATTTCTTGCTACCTACGGAAAAATAAAAAACCTTAAAAGTGATTATCAAGAAATGAGACCATAATAGAAAAGAAAAAAGGAAAATTAGACTGTGTGGGCACGTGCAAGTCCGGGTGAAAGAGGCACACCGACAATGGAGCTAAAATATTTCTTCATTGAATATCATAATTCAATGATGCAAAAGGTTTAAAATGCAGAGCACAAAAATCAAAAATAAATTAACACAACAATATATATATATCTAGAACAGCGAATATCTTAGGAAGACTCAATAAATCACAAAAATAATCAAATTTTAGTTATCAATAATCCCTATATATAGAAATTGAGTTATAAGGATAAGGTCAAACATGGAAACACAGATCTAATCCTATAAATTCCTAACAAACATTGAAATTTCAGCTCATTTTCATCAAAGAAAATAAATATTAACAAAGCCATTTAAGCTAAAAATGATGGCCATAAATAAATATGGGCCTTGAAAGGATTAAAAATGGACCCAGTTCAAACATGTTCTAGCTATGACCTAGCCTAATCGGACCAACTAGCCTCCCTATTGAGTTAAGCCTAATATACCCTAGTAAACTAGAAAACTCGGTATAGCTTGGAGTCATCATTTAATGTGGATTAAAAAAAGTTCTTGTATGACTTCTACATTGTTGACCAACCATTCCAAATTTAACCTTGAGTGGATACAAGTTAAATTGTATTTTTTTAAACAACATAATTTTATAATTAGCTTAACACTGTCGATACCGGTCCCAAGCCCGGATGTCAAAAGTGGAGGTTTGCGTTAGGTTGTCGATAGCCAGCATAAAACTTATCGAAAAAAAGTCATGACATGAATCATTTTGTTCATTGTGTAAGTGCTAGGGCGTCCTCTGAAAGCGACACGCTGTATAGCCCGAATACACTGAAAAGTGTGCAAGGGCCGCTTCACCGGCGCCCGGGTGTAGTGTTAAACAAGCAAGGATTCTCACATTACGGGCGAATGCGGGTAAAGAAGTTAGTCGTAAAGAAGTTAGTCAATGAAACTAAAGAAACTAAAATTAGGATAGGATTTCGGAATATAGGTACTCTCAATGGTAAATTAATGGAATTAGTTGATATTATGATTCATAAAAAAATTAATATCTTATGTATTCAATAAACTAAGTGGGTTGGAGAAAAAGCTAAAGAGATTAATAATTTAGGTTTTAAACTTTAGTATTCTGGTAAGAGTCGCACTAAAAATAGTGTAGGTGTAATTATAGATAAAAGTTTGAAAGATAACGTTGTTAAAATTAATAGAGTTGCAGATAAAATTATAGCCCTTAAAATTATCATTGATATTAAAATTTTAATATTATAAGTGCTTATGCTCCTCAAGTTGGTTTAGATACAAAGTCTAAAAATAAGTTTTGAAATGACTTAGAAGACTTAATACAAATGATATCGCTTGAAGAAACAATTTTTATTGGAAAAAATTTAAATAGACATGTCGGTAGAGTGGTAGAAGACTTCAGAAATACTCATGGTGGCTACGGTTTTGGAGTAACAAATGAAAAAGGTAGAGCTATTTAGATTTTGCTTTAGCGTTTTGTTATAACTAATATTTTATTCAAGAAAAGAGATGAGCATCTTATTATTTATAAGAGTAGATCTAATAAAACACAGATTGATTATTTTCTTATGAGAAGAAGAGTTCGTCGTGATTGTAAAGATTGTAAGGTCATTCCAAGTGAAAATTTAAGTACACAACATCGCTTATTAGTTCTAGATTTCCAGATTAAGAGTTGTAAAATAAAGAATACTCAAAGTCATCATCGTTGAATTAGATGGAGAAACTTAAAAGACATGTAAAATTCAAGTTCTCAAAATTTGGGATATTCATGAGGAAACAAATGTTATGTGGGATAAAGTAACAAACATTATTAAACAAGCAGCAAAAGATGTGTTTGGAGAAACAAAAGAAAAAGTTATAAATAAAAATAGTTGATGGTAGAACAATAATGTGCAATAAAAGATAAAATATAAGAAGTTATATTATAAAAATTAGTTTAAATGTAAAAGTTAAATGTAAAGCTTAGAGAACTGGAAAAAATATCAAACGGCCCGCAGGGAGTCTAAAAGAACAATTTGTGACATTAAAAATTATGCATATTAGAACGGCCTGCACTTGAGATGGAGAACCGATGAAAACTTTTTTTTGTTTGCTTGCTCTTTAGTTGGGCAAGCATTTGAGATGGGGCTTCGGGCATTGAATTGTATTGCAAGGAGCTATTATATATTCTTTCAAAGGCTTATTTGGTTGTTTTGCAAATGCTTCTGTTATGCATATTTATGCATATTGGAAATGCCCATTGAAAGTAATATTAAAATGAGAAGTTGTTATGTTGCTACTTGAGGAGAGTTGACTTAGGAAGCATTTGAAATAGATGCCTGAACCAATTATGCACTGCTAACACTGTCCATTGAAAGTATGATTGACATCAAAGGGTATTGGGGTCAGCAACTCAATTCTTGTTGAGATGGTTGGCACCTGCTATCCTATTCTAATTGATCACACATTGGTATTTCTTACTTTCAATGATACTCTTTGTGAGTAATGATGAAATGGTGGTATGTTACTTACAATGAATGGGATTCACAGTCCCAGCTGATATTTTACATTAATTTGGAAAGTTGCACACTTTGGTATTTATTCATTTCATTTTGGAAAGTTGCTCAAGCACTCTAGGAAATTGGCTAGCCACACTTTTTTAAATTTGTTGCCTACATGAAAGTGAATATGAAATTGGATGATCACTTTTCTAGTTTGGTGTAGCGGCTATGGTTTGATTTTTTGGTGGTGATGGATGAATACCCAACCTGCAGTCATTGTCTTGTTTGATTCAGAACAGTGGATAGTTCCATCAGGAACAGTAAATGCATAAGGGTAGTGTGTATTGGATTCAGATAAGAACAGTGTTTTTGCATAAACTTTTATAATATGTTGAATTGAAGCCAACTTTGTCCAAGCCAAACTTTTTGTATAGAATTTTGTCTGCAGATGCCTTGTTTTGTGTTATGTAGGCCACTTACCTTTTTATCTACTTTTGATTATACGACATCAAATATTCCCTGCTGCTCTTGCTTATTTGGTTACAGGTGGTATGAATATTTCGTGACATCAACTTTTGAATATTTCTTGCAATTTTGTTGGTTGAGCACCCATTGTATCCTAAGCTCACTGTCAACTAAAGATGTAAATTTTTATTGTGTTGAAATTTAAGAATGTCTGGGGTAGGCTTGGTTATTGCCACATATTTAGCTCGAGCAGAGATGAAATAGTTAACTTGGAGGAGGCTCTCCTAGTATTTATTTGCTTTGTAGGGAACTATGACAAACTTTTTACATGCCCCATTTGATTGCTGCACACTTTGGTGCTTTTCATTCGTAGTGCCATTGAAATTGTGCTTTTCATAACCTGGCAACTGTGGAGCAGCTTGGATGGCTACAGAACTTTGTTGTCGGCAACCGTTGTCTGCACACTTTGGTAAGTAAATTTTCTTTATTTCCTATATTTTTTTACTTATATATTCTCTTTTTAGGAGTTTCTTGGCTTACTAAACTCTTCAATATTATTTTAAAAACTAAAAAGATGTTCGAGAAGTGGAGGAAGAGTATTTTGGTCTCCATTTTTAAGAATAAAGGGGATGCACAAGAATGTGCAAATTATAAAGAAATTAAGTTGATGTGTCATAATTTAAAGTTATGGGAGAGGGTAATTGAACATAGGTTAAGACGCTTTACAAATTTTTCTCATAATTAATTTGGATTTATGACGGACAGGTTTACTATGGAGGCTATACATTTATTGAGAGAATTGATGGAGAAGTTTAGAGATAATAAGAAGAATCTACATTTCATTTTTATTGATTTAGAAAAAGCTTACAATAAGGTGCCAAGAGATATCCTTTGGAGAGTTCTTAAGAAGAAAGGTGTTGATATGACTTATATTCAAGACATTAAAGATATGTATACTAGAGTTGTTACTTGTGTTCAAACTGAAGGAGGATTGACCAAATATTTTGCTATTTCTGTTGGATTACTTCAGGGATTGGCTTTAATCCCATATCTTTTTGCTTTAGTCATGAATGGTCTTATTGGACATCTACATTAGGATGTACCTTGGTGTATGTTATTTGCTGATGATATCTTTCTCGTGGATAAAACAAGAGAAAAAACCCAAAAAAAACTTGAATTATGGAAGTCTACATTGGAGTCTAAAGACCTTCATTTAAGTAGAACTAAAACTGAATACATGGAATGTAATTTTAGTAGTAGAAGTAGCTCAGTGACAGAAGTGTGACTTTGCGTGATCAAATTATTAAAAGGTATGATCGATTTAGATATCTTAGGTCCCTTGTTCATAGCGATGGTGATACAGATGGGATTGTTAATAATAGAATTCGAGTTGGTTGGTTGAAGTGGAGGAATACTTTGGGTCTATTGTGTGATAGAAAAGTACTGCTTAGATTGAAAGGAAAATTTTATAAAACAGTGAGACCTGCAATGCTCTATGGCGCTGAATGTTGGTCTTTAAAAGAGAAGCATGATAATAAGTTAAGTGTTGTCGAGATGAGAATGATTAGGTGGATGAGTGGCTTTACACTTAGGGACAAAATGTGAAATGATTATATTCATGATAGGGTTCGTGTAGCTCCGGTGATGGACAAAATTAAAGAAAGTCGTCTTAGATGGTTTGGTCACATTAAACGTTGACCACCTAATGATCTGATTAGGAGAGTAGATGTTTTAGATTCGACTTCTGTTAAGAAAGGCAGAGGTAAACCTAGGAAGACTTGGGCTTATTGTATAAAAAATGATCTTAATTTACTAGAACTAAATGAAAATATGACACTAAATAGGATGCAATGGAGAAACAGATTCATGTAGCCGACCCCACGTAGTGTGATTAAGGCTTTGTTGTTGTTGTATTGTGACTTGGAACTCTTTTAAATAATTGCAGGACAATGAACTACCGGTAT